CTTTTTCTTTGCCAATGACTTCAATGCATCATGGACTTCTTCCTTCAATATCATTGGCTCTTGATCATATGCTACCTCTTAAGATAGTTGAACATCTACCATTTCTTTTTGATAGAGTGACTCTGTGTATTCCTTCCATCTTATTTTGATGCTTTCTTCACCTTTCAGTATTTTGCCCATTGTTGTTACTGTTAAGTGCTATCGAGTCAATTCTCACCCATAGCGACCCTGTACAGGGTTCCAAGGAGCAGCTGGTGAGCTTGAACTACCGACCTTGCAGTTCAAACGACTTTGCAGTCTGACGCATTAGCCCACAGCGCCACACCTCCTTCAATACCACAACAAGTCGAGGTGTCAACTTTTTCTTCAGTTCCCTCAGCTTAAGAAATGCTGAGTGTGTTCTTCCCTTTTGGTTTTCTAACTCCAAGTCTTTGCACATTTTTTTATATTTCAGTTTTTCTTCTCAAGCTGACCTTTGAAATTTTCTGTTTAGTTCTTATATCTCCTCCTCACTTCTTCCAGTTGCTTTAGCATCTCTACACTGGAAAGCAGCAAGTTTCAGAGTCTCTACTGACATCCATTTTGGTGTTTTCCGTCTCTCTTGTCTTCACAAGGGCCTCTTGTTTTCTTTCTGTATGAAGTTCTTGATGTCATCCCACAACTCTCCTGGTCTTCAGGCTTTAGTGTCTAATGCATCAAATCTGTTCTTCAGATGATCTCTAAATGCAGGTGGGATATATTCAAGATCATATTTTGGCTCCTGTGGACTTATTTTCATTTTCTTCAGTTTGAATTTGCATATGAGCAATTGATGGTCTGTTCCACAATCTGCCCCTGGCCTTGTTTTAGCTGATGATATGGAGCTTTTCCACCATCTCTTTCCACAGATATAGTAAATTTGATTTCTGTGTAGTCCATCTGGTGAGGTCCACATGTATTGTCTTTTATGCTGCTTTTAAGAGGTATTTGCAATAAAGAATTCATTGGTCTTGCAAAATTCTATCATGCGATCTCCAGCATCATTTCTATCACCAAGGCCATATTTTCTAGCTACTGATCCTACCCTCGTTGTTCCAACCTTTGCATTCCAGCCACCAGTAATGATCAATACATCTTGATTGCATGTTGGATCAATTCTAGACTGAAGAAGTTGGTAGAATTCTTCTATTTCATCCTTAGTGGCTTTAGAGGTTGGTGCATAAATGTGAATAATAGTGGTATTAACTGGTCTTCCTTGTAGGCAGATGGATATTATCCTGTCACAGGCAGTGTTGTACCTCATGACTGCTATGAATATGTTCTTTTTGACGACAAATGCAACGCCATTCCT